TAAAATTTGTATACTCATGATCTTGAGGAAATTATGCTCCTTAGACATACTTGTAAAAGTGCTTAAACGTAGGAACTAAATGTCTCGTGACGAGCTGCCAAGGAAGAGCTAGGGCATAGTGGCTCCAGACCTTGTTGATTCGGTCACCTGACCTCTATAATTAAGTGACAAGTATGAATAGAAGGAAAAGAAATAGAAAGTGAAAAAATATGTCGATGTTTACTTCATATCAGGTAAAATCAACTACATACAATCCGAACAATCAAGACTACTCTAGATACAACAACAGTAACATACCCAGTGTAATCCAACATAGTGGGGTTTGGGGAGGGTAGTGTGTATGTGCATGCCTTACCCCTACCTCTTGGAGATAGAGAGGCTGTTTCAGATAGACCTAGACTCAAAAAAGCATAAGCACAACAGTAATGAAAAAACGGCCAGAAACAATAGTGAGGAACCATAGAAAAGAAGAATTAGTAATAACAAGATAGTAAGATGACCAAAATGAAAGAAACAACGGGCAATAATAGAAACCTAAGACTAAAAAAACAATACGGGAATACGTACTAATACTACTAGTATGAACAATGAAACCACTCGGCTATCTAACCTTCTATCCTAATCCTCGACCTCCATACCTTTTTATCAAGAGTCACGTCCTCGTTAAGCTGGAGCATTGCCGTGTCTTGCTTAATCACCTCACCCAGTACTTCGTCGGCTTACCCCTACCTCTCCTTAGGCACTCCAAAGCCAACCTTTCACACCTCCTCACTGGTACATCTGTGTCTCTCCCCTTCACATGTCCGAACCATCTAAGTCTCGCTTCCCGCATTTTGTCCTCCACATGGACTACGCCCACTGAATAATTTCATTCCTAATTCTATCAATCCTGGTATGCTCGCACATCCATCTCAACATCCTCATTTCAGACCTTCATCTTCTGGACAACACTCAACCCCATACAACATAGTCGGTCTAATCACCGTTCTGTAGAACTTACCTTTAAGTTTTGGTGGCACTTTTTTGTCACACTAAACACCGGAAGCAAGCCTCCATTTCATCCACCCCGCCTTAAGACAATGTATGACATCCTCGTCAATCTCCCCATCCTCTTGTATAATTGACCCAAGGTACTTGAAACTTCCTCTCCTTGGGATGACTTGTGAATCTAGCCTCTCATCCCCGTCCGCTTCATGAGTCACACCACTAAACTTGCACTCCAAGACTGCTCTAGATTTTTTTTTAAATAAAGCTTTCCCTGCATGAATTTGGGCTGTGATATATTGCTGCGTTACAAAGTGAGGGGGGCTATGCCTTGCGTCAGAGTACAACAAGATAGACTGCTATTGCACCATCACAACAATATGTAGAGATGGGATCGTATGGACATCTCCCTTCTCTTTCTAATACAACTTAACTAACAAAAAAATTAACTTTGTCATACCTAATCCTAATACTAGGCATTTTCCACTTATCTAGTAGAAAAGGGCCTTTTGCAGCATTGGGCAATTGATGACAGGAGAGGTAGACAATATCATCATTCTGTGAAGTGGCCATTTTTGCCAAGGAGTCCGCTATCTGGTTAGCTTCCCTTAAACAGTGCATGACATATACATTGATTAATTCAAGGCTCTGTACAATCTCTTCAATCACCATCTTCAATTTATTGTTCTTGGTGGACCTTTTTCTTAGCATCTCAACAATCAACAACGAATCCATCTCCAAGTCAATATTTCTGTAACCATTTTGGATACACCACTCTACTCCAAACTTAGCAGCTATGGCTTCAGCAAAGTTGTTACTGTTACACCTTATCGGAATCGAGAAGGCCATAATAAAATTACCATTTACGTCCCTCGTAATTCCTCCAATACCAGCATTACCAGGTGCCTTAATGTAGCTCCCATCTGTGTTTATCTTAATTCTACCAGTCTCGGGTGTGCACCACTGTACTTGTTTCCAAATCGGAATTGGTCTCAACTTCTCCACAATGTCACAAATTTGATGCCAATGTGGTGGTAGTTGTATGTTTGGGAAGGTTCTATTAATCACAGCCTTAATGTTCCACACTACCTGGTATTCCATATTCCTGTGATGGAACTTTTTTTTGTTACCATACTTGCAAGCAGTACTCATTTTCCACAACTCCCAACATATAGTTATAGGAGTAATTTGCAATATCAATTTATGCACCAAATTACTTGGTTTCCTTTGCCACCACTGCTTGAGAACCCCATTGATAGAATCAGTTTCCAATTGCACCCCGAGTGATGTACCAAAGTACTTCCAGATATGATTTGCAGCTTCCCCTTCAAAGAAAACATGTTGTAATGTTTCACATTTGGGTGAAGTGCAACATGCACACTTAGAAACCATCTGGTTTCCAAATCTGCTAATGATATCATCAAGTGGTAGCCTTCTCTTAATTAACCTCCAGTTCAAAAAGGATATCTTGAAAGGGACATTCTTATGCCAAATTTTGTTGATGAAAGAATTCTTTGGTTTCTGCATTCTAATCAATTGCCAAGCTGATTTGTTCGAAAACATTCCATCTTCAGTGTCATTCCAGATAGCATAGTCTTGTTGATCTTGTCTCCCTATTTTAATGTTTGTAATATGAATGACCTCCTCTTCAGGTAGATGTCTTCTTAGTTTTTCCCAATTCCAATCCTCCCCACTGAAGAACTCTTTTACCATGAGTTTTGATGATCCATCATTGCTTGGATACCTTGCTGCCAGAGCTCCTCTATAGGTCCAATTGTCCCACCAGAAACTGCATTCTCCTGAATTAACCTTCCACCTAATGTTATTTTCAGCTTTCGCTATACTTTGTAATAGACTTTTCCATGAGTGAGAATTTCCGGCTGCCCACTTTTTGGTCACGGGATGAGCCCTGATACAATATTTGGCTTTGGTGAAATCTGCCCATAGAGATGGTTTGGTCCTAAACCTCCACCATCTCTTCATGCTGCACACTTCATTGATTTCTTCCATACTTCCTTCACCAATTCCCCCCTCATCCTTCGGTACACACAAGTTTTTCCAGGAACACCAGTGATAATTGTTCTTGTCTGTTGTTGTTCCCCATAGGAATCTAGAGAAATGTTTTTCGATGAGTGTTAGAGTTCCTTTTGGAGGGGACATGGCAGATAAGGTATAAATTGGTAACGATTGCAGAACATTCTTGATCAGAGTAATCCTACCCCCATATGACAACATCTTACCTTGCCATCCAGCCAGCTTCCTCACTACTTTTGCTACTATATCATCAAAGTAACAAAGTTTCTTCCTTCCTAAATATATAGGATATCCCAAATATGCAAAGGGGAATTGCTTATCCATAAAACCTGTTTTCTTCCTCATTCTGTTAATTCTCCCAGCTCTGATTTTCGGAGCAGTGATGAAAAAACTTTTGTCGACATTCACCTTTTGGCCTGAGGCCCTCTCATATGTCTTGATCTGCTTCATCACTAGTTTGATGGACTTAGTATTTCCCCCGGTGAAAATAATCACATCATCTGCATAAGCCAGATGGTTAATTTGAGGGCCGTTTACATTCACGGAGAAGGAAGTAAAGTTTTCATTGTGGTTAAGGTTGTTAAGAAGTCTTGACGACACCTCAGATCCAATGATGAGCAAGGAAGGTGACAATGGATCCCCCTGTTTGAGGCCTTGAGATGAAGTAAAAAAGCCTTTCCTACTTCCATTTACAATGATTGAATACCATACATTTGATAGGAGTCTACTGATGATGTCTATCCAGATTTCAGAAAAACCAAATTTTCTAAGAACTGCATAGATGAACTTCCAGGACATTTTATCATAGGCCTTCTCCATGTCTAGTTTAATCACCATGTTACCCCCTCAGCCCCTCTATTATATTGTGTAACTCCCTGCACAATTTCCTGAGCAAGCAATACATTCTCAGTTATCAATCTACCTTTTACGAATCCACTTTGATTTTTCGATATCATTTTGGTGAGAATTGGATTCAGTCTTTCAGAGAGGATCTTGGAGATAATCTTGCTGGTAAAATTACTAAGGCTGATAGGTCTGAACTCTGAAAAAGATTCTGGTGATTCTTTCTTTGGTAAGAGAACTAAGCATGTGTGAGAGTAAAACTTACTTAGCTCTTTACCATCGAAAAAGGATTGCACAAATCTTGTGATGTCATCTTTGATAATTTCCCAGCAACTGTGAAAGAAAGTTCCGTTGTACCCATCTGGACCAGCTGCACTAGAGGCGCTCATATTGAACACTGCTTCTCTGATCTCTTCTTCTTGGGGGATGGATGTAAGAATTTCATTCTCATCCTCGGACACACATCTGGATATGCAATCTAAGCAATCCAAATTTAACTCAGTCTGTGGTAGGTTGAAGAGCTTTTCAAAATGTCTAACTTCAGATACAATTAGACATTTTCAAAATTTATCTCTTCTTCTTGGACTGCTCTAGATACAATTAGCAAATACTTTAAGTGATTACAGGAAAGGATTCTTTTTAGAATTTTGAACTTCTTGAGGGGCAAGCCCTGTGCATTTGTTTTTATGTGGTGTCTTTCATGTTGTATCAGTTTTTTTCTTCGCATTTTATATCTGTTGTTTGATTTCAGTTTACTGAGGTTGATCCCACTCCCCTACGTCTTCACTTTTTCTGTGTAGGATATATGCCAAGCTAAAAGTATCTGCCAAGACTTGATAATGGTCCACTCAGGAAGTGAAGCATACAGAAGAGCACATCAGGCAAAAGATTTGTTTTTGGAGTTTATGACTCATCAACAGCGACTCTATAAGAAGTTAGCTTTGGAAGAGAGTGTATATTTGCAGACGCTACAATTTCAACCAAGTTTTGATACGTATATATGTTAAAAACGATTATAGAGTGATCCAACCCCTGTTTATACCTTTACCTCTGTAACAGGTTTAGCTTAGCTTGGTAACACAGGCCTCTGTGTTTCTACAATGTTTCAAGATTTCTTGTCCTTTAACCAACCCGGTAAAATGCGTTGTAGCAATCTCATTCCGTGCACAGGTTTTCAATTTTCAATGCTCGGGGAAGGTGGCACTGGAAACAAGTGCAGCAACTATACTGCATTCTTGTTTGCACCTTCTTTGACTGAGAAAGACTGGATTTGTATTTTATCAATGCATACTTAAAATGTCAAAAATTGCCAGCGTATTTGCATTTGATGGTTAAATGGTGGTAGTTGCATCTACTACTTGCAATGTCCAGTTGCTCAAATGTTCAAGAGGTCATAACTGAAAATGCAACGTTATGATTTTGAAAACGGCTTGCTGAACTTATTAGTAGAATTTTTCATTTATACACTTTTCGGATACGAATGGGAATTTTGGAGCAACGGTAAAGTTATCTCCGTGTGATTTATAGGTCACGGGTTCGAGTCATGGACCTTGCATGAACGCGAGATGCTTTGTACACCGGGCTGCCTCTTTTTTCACTTTAGGGATCTGTTGAACACTTATTTATCTAAAAAAATATTCCGAATAAGCCCCTAAATGATTGAAAAATAAAGTGTGATTATCAATTCTCAAACGTAGTGTGACATGATAAAGAAGCGAATCGATACACAATTGATAGTTCAAGCAATGCGCAGAACGGACACATATACCATTGATTTTTTTTTTCAAATTACTTTTAGATGATTTTTAAATCTGTCTGGGTGGTGCATAAATTATATAGTGGCCAAGCAATAACCAAAAGAAAAACAATTCTGTTGAAATGACAATCTTTCACTGTCAATATAATGACAGAGAGCAAAATAGTGACTGCTGTAAAATTAGTGAGTAAATTAAAAAATTTGCCTATTCAAGTTCCAATTTCAGATTTGGTATTAATGGACATGGAAAGTTGGTTTTTATTGTGTTATTTCGTTGAAGTATTTACCTATTCAAGTTAGATTTAGGATCCTCTTCAAAATGTTATTGATATTAAAGCAGTCAAGGATTTGATAGATTTGCTATAAAATTCGAAAAATTTGGCATGCAACTTGTACGACGCCTACTTATAGTCAGCTGGTCACTGTTGTCAACCTGGACTTGGATGAATTTTAGCAAGCACATTAAGACATTTTCATATTTGGGTTGACTTTTAGATTTGATTTTGTTAATGCAAGTCATGAGTTTAATTTTGCTTCTTATTTCTTATTAAGAAAGTTTTGAGAGATTTGGCACCTAGTTGGTCTTTCCTCAAATTATATCCAGTTATCCACATTTGCTGACCCCAACTTAGTAAATTTCATAAGTATATTAGAGTATTTAACTATTTAACTTAAAATTTTGGATTTCATTGGTGTGGTATTAAATTGGTTTCATTTTGCTACTATAATTTTTCAATATGATGAAAAGATTTTTTTTAACTTACAATATTTGGCGCGATATTGCCATTGTGATGTAGTTCTTGATGTATATAAATACCCGTAATATTGATCTTCTTCTAAGTACCATTTCTCGATAAAATATTCATCAGTAATCCTTTATCAACTCTCTTTATAAATTTAGCCATGGTGAGCAAGAAGACTAAAGGGCGTCAAAAGATAGCAATAAAAAAAATAGAAAACAAAGACGACCGCTTTGCCACATTCTCAAAGCGTCGTACGGGCTTATACAAAAAGGCCAGCAACCTTGTTTCCCAATGTGATGCTGATATTGGAATCGTACTTTCTTCCCCTGCCGGTAAGCCTTTCTCATTTTTTCACCCTACAATTGATGTTGTTATTGCTCGTTTTCAGAATCCTGATATGCAATTAAGTGAGATTAATCGCCTAGTTGCGGCTTATGCTCGAAACAAAGTGAACTATCTTAATAGTAGGCTTGAAGAGTTTGATACCAGAGAAGACGCTGCAACTGTTCAAACACGTTTCTATGACCAAATGTCAAAAACTAGACAAAGTGATTGGTGGGAGTCAATTGAGCAGCTCAATGCATGTGAAATGATAATGTTTGAAGCGTGGTTAGACAATGCTATGTTTAATTTGAACAATCATTTGAATCAATTGGAAATTGGAGCTTCATCCTCATCACCAAACTACTTCTAAAGATGCCGACAACGCACAAAACTAGCAAGTTCAAATTCATATTATCGGAATGTGTTTTTTTTGTTTTTATTTTATTTTATTTCGACAATGCTACATGCACGTACTCTGCTATGATTTTCATTAATAATAATTAATATAGTTTTTAAATGCGTTATCTTACAAGCTAGTAGATCTCTAAATAATAAATTCAACATCTCTTGTATTCTTAAAAATATCAAAGCAAAGTCTGACCTAATGATCAAGGGTGTTCTTAACCTAAATTTGAATAATTATTAGAAAATGCCTATAAAAAATGAAATTAGCACTCCTAAATCATTTGTCTCAAATATTCTAGTAGGAGAAAAACAAGCTCCTTGTGTCATTTGTGGAACCTATAGACCTGGTCTTGGCAGTTAGTTAGATAATACTCCATTTTCAAAAATCTTGTGTTTTTTTTTCCAGTTAGGATCTTTTGAAATCCTGAATGCATAAATGGGAATTGGGTCATGGGAAAACATGTCAAGAGTGGCACTGTTTCTCTTAGTGATGTGTTTTCAGGGAATTTATGGGATTAGATTTGTGATAGAGAGAGAAGAGTGTTTGTCTCACAATGTTCACTTGGAAGGTGACACTATTCATGTCTCCTTTGTTGTCATTAAAGCTGACACTCCTTGGCATTCTGCTAGTGAGGGTGCTGTTGATCTTTTGGTAATTAATCTTCCTCTTTTTTTCTCTTCATATTCTACTTTTCTTCTGAAATTGGGATGTGTTTACTCAAGTGGCGAATCGAAGATTTAGAGTGAGTTTAGAATGATCACTTTATATGTATACATCTGAATCTTTTCTAGGGATCTTTACACAAATAGACGGCTAGATTTACTGTTTACTTTTCCTAACCGGTATACATGAATTATATACTAATTACACATGGTTATACACATTATATGTGGACTAACTATTTAGTTAAAACCTGCCCTAAATCCGCCGTTGTATTGACTTTCTCTTTTTCACCATGGATTACACTTTCCCTTTTCTTTTCTATTTCTATCGTTCAATGCTTCTTGATTGATTCACAACACAGTTTGAAGCTTTTCCAGATATAGCTTATGAACAGACATAAAAAATTACATCCCTAGGGTGCGACCCTTTCCAGACCCTGCGTGAATGGCGGATGCTTCGTGCACTGAGCTGCCCTTTGAACAAACATGAAAACAACGCCATTATGTTTGCGTATGTTGATATGTTTTTTTTTGTGCTAATTGTGCCTAAGGATGAGCGAGTGGTTGAGACATTGAAGAGAATTATGAGATCGTAGGCAGATTCACCTGACAGGCTGGCACATCTACTTTTAACTGTAATAGGTTGTTCAATAAATTAGTCGAGATGCACACGAGTTGGATGAAACACCACCTTTATAAGAAAATAAATTGTTTTTCGTGCTAGTTTGGAGCACGATTCACATTAAATAATGAAATGGGATTAGTGTAAAGGGCAACCCGGTCCCGCATTCATGCTGGGTCTGGGAAAGGGCCGCACCCAAGGGGTTGTGAAATGTACCTAAAGAACCATGTAGTTTGATAGTTGAAATTGAGATTTGATACACATACCTGAGAGAATGAACTCTTGTCTCATAGTTAGAATGTGATAACTGAAAACGCCAACAGAGACATGATATCTACTTGAATTTGCATTGTACATGCTTTCTGGTTCCTTCTGAACTTTCCAAAGGTTGATTAAAAAGTTTTACTAGTTCTCCATCCCGAAGGGAACCTTGTAGCAACGGTAAAGTTGTCTCTGTGTGACCTATAGGTCACGGGTTCGAGCTGTGGAATCAGCCATTGATGTTTGCATCAGGTAGGCTACCTACATCACACCCCTTGGGTTCCCTGGACCCTGCGTGAACACGAGATGCTTCGTGGAACGGGCTGTCCCCTACTACTAGTTCTATACTCCCAGATAAGTTGGTGTTCAACTTGAAGTAGAAGCTGTGACATTCCGTAGCTTCTATTTCCTAAATTCCATTACATCAATCGCCCTGCTTCTAATAGGAAGTGCTTCTTGCAATTTTTGTGGCATTACTTTCTTATTAGAAGTAGAAATAGTGAAATTTGGTTGGTGCTTGTCAGACAACATGTTGATTCTGGTTTCCTCTATCTTATCTTGAATTGCCTTTTCTCTTATTGTCATTGTACCTATTGTTTCTGCCGATGGTCTATCGGAAACAGCCTCTCTACCTTCTCAAGGTAAAGGTATACCCTCACCAGACCCCACTTATGGGATTACACTGGGTTTGTTGTTATTGTTGTTATATTGTACCAACTGTTTCTGAATGTTCTGAAGTCTGTTTTAATTTTCAGATTAAGGGGCCTTCTGGAGAGCAGATTCACAACTTTCCCGACAAGACTAGTGAGAAGTATGAGTTTGTCGCTCACAGAAAAGGCGTTTACAAGTTTTGCTTCACAAATAAATCGCCTTATCATGAAACCTTGGATTTCGACGTGCATGTTGTCCATTATACATACTTTGATCAGCATGCAAAGGATGGTAATAATCCTCTCTGTTTTGGTTCATCTTTTTCTTTCTTCAACTCTATTATCGTACTAAGTATGAATATTTTCCGCTAAATGGCTACAGAGCATTTTGATCCATTGCTGGAACAGATATCAAAGTTAGAAGCAGCTCTTTACAACATACAGTTTGAACAGCATTGGCTTGAAGCACAGACTGAACGCCAGGCATTAGGTATCTATCTTCTCTGTATACATCTCGGATAGGAAGTAAAGCCTCAAAACAAAAACACAAATCTTATATCCAAACTTACTTCTAGATCGAATTGTGACAATATGCCGACACCATTTGCGCAAATGTTGTGTATGCCATTGGCCACTACCAGAAAAAATCCCTCATAACATTTACATGCAATCTCAGTGTAGCATCCACTACCTTGATTCCGTTTTATCTAGTTCAGTTTCAAGCTAAGTGATGATTCCTACTGCACTTTTGGTTCTATCATAATATCTTTTCTATTTGTACCCAAGGGTGTGGCTTAGTAGTCAATGAAGTGAGTTCAGAACCATATTGTCTCATATTCAAACCCCAGGGAGGCAAAATCAGTAGGTGATATTTTCCCATCCGTCCAAGCCTTGATGGACAGAGTTGTCCGATATCTATGCTGGTGCATAGTGGAGAAGCTAGAATCTTCCTCCCCATTGTATCTTCATAGTAGATCACTCCTATGTTGTATGGACTCTCCAAAATGTTGCTGCACCCGTGTCGGATCATCCAAAAATATACTACTTTAACAGGATCCGACACGCACCCGGCGATATTTTCGGAGAGTCCGAGCAATATAGGATCGCTCAAAATTAGAGTAGAGGAGCGTAATTAGTTGTAGAAAATGTATATGTTAAGCTTAATCCAGCAAATAGAGAAAGAAAAGAAGTTGCTTTTTATTAGTGTTAACTCATACTGGGGCTAACTATTTCCTGCTGGAAGTGCAGTCAATGAAGGTATGAGCCAAAGAGCAATCACCAAAGCCATTCTTGAATCAGTTACGCTTGTTGGTGTCAGCTTTCTTCAGGTCTTCCTCCTCCAACGCCTTTTTGAACAGAAGGTTCGGACTATAAGAGTTTAGACTTGCATTCCTGGAGCTAGCATTCAGACATGGGCGGAACTTCACTCTTTTTTAAGAAAGCGTCCCATGTACATTCTCTTTTTAGCAGAAAAAAAAAATCAAGTCCACGTAGTTCACAGTTAGTCAGTTAAATAGATCGCATTAAAAATTCAGATTTTATTGACGGCTGATTCCGGAGAGTTCTTAGTTGCAAGATTCACAAGTTCCATATGAAGTCACGCGTTGTTTAACGTATTAAACTATCACAATTTCCTTCATTTTTTGCTGTTCTCTGATAGATAATTTTTGTGGCATAGTACCATTGACTTTAATAGGTTGTGTTTAATTTTTATTCAGCTAAAGAGATTTTTGAATTTTAGTCAGCTCATGTCCAATATTTAATACTTCCCACTTTATTCTTTCTTTCTTTTCTAAACTCCGTTGCCCGTGCCCATTCAAACTTTGCTCTATAGACCGGACAGAGGGAGTACTGATTTAATCGAAAAACTTTGAACGGTTTAAATACTGGGGAAAGTTCAGGCTTATATCATTAAGTGCCAATTGATGGTATTCCAAAATATCAAACAGGTTTTTCTCACACTATGTAGCAACTCATCCCAAATCTTAACTAAAATAAAAAGTAATGGGATCTGGACAAAATATACGCGGGAAAGATAAGATCATTCTCCTTCCCGGAAGAAAAGTGGGATCTGGACAAAATCGATGAAACAAAATAAAGAGAACGAGCTCCTTTCGGAATTTGTCAAGCTTCAGCTGTTAAACTTGTAAACTAACAGTAACAATAATAAACTCAAGATTAGAAATAATTAAACACATCGATAACACAATATGATTTGGTAGCAAAAAGCTGTAATCTGAGTAATATTATAAGATAACAAAGTTTTATTCCAGCAGGATCCATCACAGCTTGACTACAGCTCCAGTCTTCTGGAACACCATTAGCATAAGTTTTCAAAAAAGTTATACTTTCCATTGCAGTGTCTAGGAGCAAACAGAGTTCATCAATCGGCATCACCCGACCGCATACAGCAGAACCATTTCTTCTGAAAAAAGCAACATGTCCATAATGTTATTATCCAGAAAAAATTATTCTAAATTGTTTATAACTTTAAGAGTTTATGTTATCTGTGTTTAAAAACAGTATTGGCATAAAACTGAAAAAACAGAATAACCAGAAAAGTCAGAAAGCAGAACTTAGAACACGAAACATAAAAAGTATTTTGAGCTCACAATTTTCTTGTGTGTCCTTAAGAAATTTAATACCCTCACTGTTGCCCAAGGTATTTTGGATTAATTCCTTCCAGGATATAAAGAAAAACTATTCTGTAATAACAACACTTCAAATTACAGAACTTTGGCGAACTCAAATGGTAGAGCAAATCACAATGTCTGTTTTCGAAAACAATGTTGTAATGCAAAAGAGAGAGGGGAGAGTGTTTTCAGATTTTCAGCCTAGGAATTTATAGCCATCAGGTCAGATTTGAAATGGTGCGAAGGTGTCTGTTTGGAAACTTTCCAAAAGTGTACCGAATCCGACCGAAGCCGAGCAATGACAGCACGAGACTTACTTTCTTCTCAAATATTTAAGAACTAGAAGAAGTGCTTCGATATATAAGCACAACAATCTTCCTTTTCCTATCCAATCTGGGATAAAATTCCTTTATAAAAAAGAACCAGTTCAAAAAATTTATTTCCCACTATTTTCCATTTACACTTTAAATAAAAGTATAAAGAATTTTCTACACTATCAAGTCCTATTTACTTATTGTACAGGTAACTTGTCCTATTTTCAAGATTACGAATCTCACTTGTAACTTTAAACAGTACATGGAAAGATCTCAATGCATATATAACCAATCTTACTTTTATATCTACTTTATTTGAATTAGATTTGCACCTCCAATCCAACACAAGTACCTTTGTAAATACTTTTATTGTTTTCGATTCAAAAGGCGAGAGAAACCACCCCATCCTTCTCCTTCCTTTTTTCGTCCCCATGTCGCTAGACAGGCAACATGTTGATGTAAAAAAGGAGCCTTTTGACAATAAATCAGTATTCAATATAATTATGTAACATCATAGCACTTTAGTAAGGTGTCCTTGTTACTCTTTTATTCTCGTTAATTACCATTCCTTGATACTCCATGTTTATTGTTGTTCTCTTGTCTATACCGTGAATATTATTTCTACGTGCTATTTTTCCCAACAAAAGCGTCATAACTTGAGGAAACGATAACATAAAAACAGGTAGATAGCCATAGGACGATCAGCCACAACTTACTGATTGAGGTTTTCCAAAAGTTGCTGTATGCTTGTAGTTTTTCTTTGGTGGCGAGTGATCTATCTTGCCCGTCTTCTTCTCATTTCGAGCTTTGTTAAAGATGACCGAGAACCTCTCAGCTGAAGCTGGGTCATTGACATCCCACTCACCAAACTTCGGAAGTGGACGACCTTCCTATAAGAAAGAACTATGAATCAGGCAGGCAGTTCCTATAACAAACCTAGTGTAATCCTATAAATGGGGTCTCTGGGGTAGTATGAATCAGGCAGTTCCTATAACAAACCCAGTGTAATCCTATAAATGGGGTCTCTGGGGTAGTATGAATCAGGCCGTTCCTATAACAAACCCAGTGTAAGGCGGATCTAGGATTTCTAGTACATGGATGCACTACTAAAAAAAGGAAGAAAAAATGTATCTAGTGGGATTTGAAATCCAATTTCAGAAAATATGTACATAAAATATCTAATTTTACGAAGAGACCATGGGTTCACGTGCCCCATATTTAAACCTATAAATCCGCCCTTGTATACACAGGCCTTACCCCTACCTTATAGAGATAGAGAGGCGGTTTCCAATAGACCTTTGGCTCTATGTCAAAATATATTGAAATGAAAATGAACCACATAAGCTTTAATCTTTGCCTTTTACATATTACATGTTAGGAGAAAAGTACTCTTAACATTGACAAACATAAATGGTAAAGGTAGTAATAAACCTCAGTTGTCTCTCATCACAAAGTGGTATAGACTATATATGATGATTTTGATGCTAAAATAGTATGATAATGCATAATTAACTGGATACTAATTTATAAACCAAAATTATACCAAGTCTTATTGGCATATAATTCTCTGACTCAGAGAGAGCAGACGACTTAAAGTAAACGTTCTAACATGACTAAAACATATATTCTTAAGTAATTGATATGCGAATATGTAAGTCTCTGACCGGGAAAAAGCTCGACATACACCGAGTAACAACATATTGAGCCTTAACCAACTAGTTGATATTGCTTAAACGAATTATTCACTTCCATTGTGTTATGTGCTAATAGGAGCTAAGTTTAACTTGATTTAGACAGACTGGTGGTCGATATAGTGGGATGAAAATTATGGGATCAAGGTCAAATCCCAATAGAGGAAAAAAATGTTAGGTGATTTCGTTTTATCCGTCTAAACCTTAAGCCTACGGTAGTAGGAGGCAGTAAGTACATGATGAAAAAGTCGAGGTGTGCACTCACCAACATTATAAAAGTTACCAAATAAAGAAAGAAAGAAAAAACTAAAGGTTCTTCAAAATCTAATTTCACCATTATTTGTACATTGGTATCGAACATACATGAAATAGGCCGATAGATATCTTAAAAAGACATTATATGGGAAGCATAAATTGCAAAAAAAAAAAAAAAACACACCGGTGCACAAAGCATCCCGCATTAACACGGGGTCCGGGGAAAGACCAATGTAGACAGCCTACCCTAATGCAAGCATTAATGGCTGCCTCCATGACTTGAGCTCGTGACTTATAGGTCATAAAGAGCAACTTTATCGTCGCTCCAATGCTCCCCTTCAAAACCACAAAAATGGAAAAGATCTCCAAAAAATAATCTAGGGCGACTATGAATAGAATAGAAAAATATAAATCAACCATGCATTGTGAAAGAACAAAACAAATGCTCACAATCAGAACTCAAAAATACAATTTTTAAACCTTATAAAGAAGACAAACATATAGAGAATTGTGAATCATACCGCCATGTCTTTAGAGTTTGGAAAGACAGAAAATTGTTTCAAAAACTTGATGGGAAAATGTGAATGCTCAATATAATTGATTGATTAATTGATTAATTGATATTTCTTTTTTTATTTCAGAAGGAACAAAAAGTGAGGGAGAGTCGTTCTCAAGAAAAGGGAAAAAAGAGAGAGAAAATCTCTCTCCTTTTTCTCTTTCTTGGACTCTACAACTCTACAACTGAATTTTGGAAATATCGTTAGACAGAAAAAGGAAAAAAAAGGAGAGAGAGACGGAACAACTGGCTTCAATGTGAGCCACTGGTTACCACCGGTGGTTTTAAAATTTTTAATTTTATTATTTTATGATGAGCTTTTTTGTTCATGATTTCGTTTTGTTGTTTGAATAAATAAAAATATAATTATCTACCAAGTGTAACTTATAATTATGGTTTGTTATATGGTGCTTACACTACCTATGACCGAAATAGAAACGCTTCGTTTCTTGGTTCAAAAATGCCGAATCAAGAAGCTCAACAAACTTTTGAAATAGCGTGCCTTTAGGAGACCCATTAAAAAAAATGAATCTAGACATTAATTTAAATATTCTTTTTGAGATATTAAAATTATTTTTTTTAACAAATTTTTTGGAAAAGTTGGGTTTTCGCATAGATAAGTAGGATCGGGTAACATAACTTTAGCAAGACATCCCCACACTTTCAAATATTTTAAATTAGGGAGATAGCCTTTCCACAACTCATAAGGAGTTTTACCCGTTTTCTTATAGGGAATCCTATTTTGTAAATGACAGGCAGATAATATGGCTTCACCCCCAAGATTATCCGGAGCACCAAAACTAACAAGCATACTATTCATCATTTCCTTTAAGGTCATATTTTTCTTTCCACTATACCATTTGATTGTGGAGAATATGACGGAGTTATCTCGTGAATTATGCTTTCTTTCTCACAATAATCTTTCAACAAAATAAATTCACCACCTCTATCGGATCTAACTCTTTTGATTTTCTTATCCAATTGATTTTCTACTTCAGATTTATAAATTAAAAACTTATCAAAAGCTTCATCTTTATTTCTCAACAAATAAACTTTTGTATATCTAGAAAAATCGTCTATAAAAGTCACATAATATTTTTTCCCTCCTCTAGTCATAGTTTGTTTCAAGTCTCCTAAATCAGTATGTATTAAACTTAACAATTCAGATTCTCTAAATACAGAAGCATATGATTTCTTAGTTTGTTTAGTTTCTGCACAAACTTCACACTTATCAATATACGAAAAATTAATATTTGAAATAAGACCTTCATAATGCATCTTCTTTATATAAGATAAACTAACATGTCCTAGTCTAGCATGCCATAAATTAAAAGAATCAATCAAGTAAGCAGAAGTACTAGCATTTTCATTCATAACATTTAGTACAAACAATCCATGGTTATAATAACCCTTGCCAACAAAATTGTTATTCTTGGTCAATACGACCTTATCAGATTCAAAAGAAACCTTCACCCCTGCTTTTCTTAATAATCCACAGAGACCAAATTGGCTCGGATACTAGGAACATGCAACACGTCATTCAATGCCAAAGTTTTGCCAGATGTGAGTTTGAGAAGAACTTTGCCTTTTCCAAGAACTTGAGTAGTTCTTGAGTCACCAAGATAGACAACTTCTTCTCCCTCCTCAACTTGGATGTAAGACACAAAGTCTTTTTTGTTAGCACATATGTGCCTAGTGGCACCAGAATCTAACACCCAATCTTTTACATTGGCCATAAGGTTCACTTAGGAAACAACCGCAACAATTATATCATCCACTTTGGCTTCAGTCAAATTTACTTTATCCTTAGTGGGATTATCATTCCCAACCCTTTTTCGGCGTTGAGCAATACAGTGGCCAGGTTTGCCACACACAAAACAATTGCCTTTTTTCTTGAAGGTTTGATTGTTGGTTTTGGGCTTATAACCATTTCTTTTGTCATACTTGTTACTTGATTTTCTCGGACGGTTGTTGTCCTCCACAAGGCTGCTTCAGTAGCAATTTCTTTTTCTTTGTCAACAACAGCTTGCTTGCGGTTAAAATTATTTCCACCAAAAATCACAATTTTCGAAACATCGGGAAAAGATTTGGCACACGTAATTAGCGATGGAACAACAACAGAAACAGTATGTGCAGTGGATGTAGTAGCAACAACAACAACATTAGCAACATTATTCTCCATAATAACAACGTGTAAATATCCTTAAGATTGTTGAAAAAATATTGGATTATGGAGAATAGATTTAGCTTGAGGCGTGTCAAGGACACTGTCCTTAAGGATATTTAGCCCACATCGAAATAAATAAATTAGGCGTATCCCCCAAGATTCAACAAGCTCTTCTAGTATAACTAGGAGCAAAAACAACAAAGATTAACAAAATAAACCCAGCACTGAAAAATATAATATATAGGAGAAGTTTTTACGCTTAGTTTTTTTTCCACCCGTCAAAGCAAAAAATGACTTGGTATTTATAGATAAGAAAACACCATCTCATCATATGGCTAGCTAATGCAATAAATCTCCAACGTATATAACATTAAAGGATTAACAAATAATGAGAGGCTAAGACTGTTACAAAGAAAATTCTTTAACGTTTTGTAACTTTTCAAAGTTATTCAAGACTATTGATAACGGTAGTGGTTTCAAAAAGAATTTAAAGGCTATACGATGATAGGTTATAATTGTGTATTTTAGTCGTTTATTACACCCTAATTTACTGCACTTTAATTGAGCTTGCGCTTTAATCTCTAGTGTTTTGCATTAAATATGTGTTTTATGCCTTGTAGGAGTGATTTCGATCTATGTAGGCGTTATGGAATGAATTCAAGCGATTTGGAGCTTTGAAGTTTGAGTAAAAGCCCAAGTAATTAAGCTGAGATCGTGTTCGGGGAACAACAAATGATAGTTAAGAACGAAAGGAAGAATCGAGCGGGCATACGGCGCATCGTCTAGTAAAATGCATATACTTTTCGCTTAGAACTCCGTTTGAAAGATATTTGAAAGAGCTACAACTTTCATGTTTTACATTTTTGCAAATTCTCACTACTGCGCCGTATGAGACACCGCAGGGTGCGGTGCAGCAGTGTAAAAACTGGCTTGACAAGAAAAATACAAGGCTGCTGATAATCTCCATTAGCACACCGCATGGTGCAGTGCGGCTGCACAAAATTTACAGAGCCAAAGTCCTATTTCGCGCGGGAGAAGCTGTTTTCGTCTGGGCCCAACCCTACTTGGTATAAATTAGGGGTGTACAAAGAAAAACGACAAACCGCACCAACCCGATAATCCGAATCAAACCGAGAAAAAAACCCGACTATGGTTTGGTTTGATTTGGTTTGGTGTTGGAAAAAAAACCCGACCATAATTAGTTTGGTTTGGTTTTAACTAAAGAAAGCCAAACCGAAACCAAACCAACCCGACATTACATATATAGAAATTTTAGATATATTTAATATATTAATATACTTATTGTGATGTAATTTATAAATATTTCTTAATTTTTTTCATAATTTTATCTTTTAAGGTATTATTTCAAGGTTGGACTTAGAACTTTTGAATGTTCCAATAAGTTTTATAGCCATTAACATTAGTAAATTAAATCATGCTAACAAAAACCCAAACCAAAATCAAATCAATACTAATGCTAACAAAAGACATTCAATTCAATACTACGAACGGGAATGTATTGAATATCTATTTTTTGTTTTGCAATAATTTAGATAAAAATGCATAACCTATTTTTATTTTTTCTTTAACGTTTAGTCATGTAATTAATACACTCTTATTAGTCTATTTATTTTAGCATGACTTAGTACTTTTAGATTATGTTTATTTTTATTATGGCTTTTTAATTAGCAATATTTATATTACATAATTTTATTATCTTTATTATTGAATATTTTAGGATAATGCCATGACACATCTCATATTTTGTATTATTTTCTTGAAAAGTACTTTATATAGTTGTATCTACTAGGATTAAAGAAATATTTTGAGCACAATTTATATGTTTTGTTCTATGAAGATTTTACCGGAAAAAATCTCGAAAAAATCCGAAAATCCGAGAAAACCCGAGAGTAAAAACCTGAGTTTTATTGGTTTGGTTTGGTCTTTAGATTTAATAACCCGATACAATTGGTTTGGTTTGGTCTTTAGATTTAATAACCCGATACAATTGGTTTGGTTTGGTAGTTGTAAAATTCAAACCAACCCGACCTATGTACACCCCTAGTATAAATACATATAAAAACGTTACTTTGGTGACTTTTAACAGATCTTAGACCTAGGGACACACTTTAGACGTGGGGGAACACACACCACGCTTTGGAGGAGGCTTCTAACTAGTTTTTCTTCTCTTCTCTTCCTTTAATTTCATAGTTATTAGTTCTAGAGTTTTGGTGCTACATGAATGTTGTAGTTTGAAGCTTAATTTGTTCTTATTATTTTATCATATTGGTTTATTTATTCAATCTTGCACTTAATTATTTGATTGTTTGATCACCAATTGAATACTATCTACGAATCTAGGATTGAACTCGGGAGAGAGAATTCTAGATTGGATATAAGATTGAGTAGAGCAAGATCTTAACTCTAAGGGGGAGCGGATTTGCGGTTAGGATAGGAATATACCTAATCACCTTGCTTGGTTACTATACAGGAATTATTAATGCGTTCTTGTTAATTCTAATTCCATAGGAATATAAGCATTAGATTAGCTTGAATAGATGAGTTGTACTTCGGGAGAAGGCTACGAGCAATATTAACCATGTCAACCAATAAACCAAATAAATTTATTAGACGATTTAAGTGAAAAACTCAACGAGATTGTTAGCTAACCCATAGCTCTAGAATATTCACTCACATTGAACTCGTCTCTATAATTCGCCAACTTGTTTTCTCTAATCTCTTAATTTGTTACTCTAGATTAATTTTAGTCAAATATTCATACGTTAGGATTTGCTTGAATCAATTAATTGTTTGGTTTAATTTAGTTGATAATTAATCACAAGTCTCTGTGGGTACGATATCTGGACTTACAATCATATATTACTTGTCGACCACGTATACTTGCATGTGCGTTTGGGAGCAACAAGTTTTTGGCGCCGTTGCCGGGGACTAGAAATTAACTAGCCTACTAGATTAGATTTTTACTCTTTATCTATTCAAGT